GTAGATGAGTATGTCTGTCTCTCATACACGTAGATGAGTATGTCTGTCTCTCATACACGTAGATGAGTATGTCTGTCTCTCATACACGTAGATGAGTTTGCACTGCCTAACTGAACTGAACTAAGATCATTCGCATTCTGGAAAACTGACAAAAGCAAGACGGCTTTGAGTTCACGGGTGCCTGGTTTTCTTATTATAAAGGTATTTGGTACGAAAATATGAAAATTGCTGGAAACTGTGGTTTACTTACCCTGAAGTTTGCTGGAAAAAAGAATGTCACTGAGTATAAGTTTCCTGTAGAAATCTTTGGAAAGAAAAACACATTATTGAGGATTATTTGGAGCCATTTTGCCCATTTATCTGTTTGGTGGTTTGTTTATTTATTAGTACTATTGTTTTGTTATCATCAGCACTCACATTATAACTACAATTAATGTCAATAATAGTAATAATAATGCTACTTTTGTTATTCTCATTTACACTTATAGATTTATAGCTTATAGATTACGCTTATATATTCATATTGATTCACTATAGTCAAGTTTACAGATTTAAAAGAGTAATATAAATGATCTTTTTTAGTTATTTTGAAGATCATAAAATATATTAGGAAAATATCCTAAATTATCTTAAATATTTTAAATTATGTTGCTGTTGTGTGCTGTTGTGTGCTGGCATTTTGTACTGTCCTGGTTTTCCCATACACAACAAAAACTCTCATGAGAAAGTTGTGAGGTGATTGATCAAGCTTGTCTTTCTGGTACATATGTATTTCTGCTATATTAAGAAATATTTATCACATTGTAGAGCCCCCTGCTTTCACAGTAGCCTTATTATCTTATCCAAGAACTTTGTCAGGAACAGGTTTTTCAAAGTCTGTTGAAGGATGCTTTATGGATAAGTGTAATTGGGTTGGTGGAGATGATTTCAGTCATTTTCTTTTCCAGATTGTTAGCATGACAGTTATACATAGCATGTTCCAGAGGTGGAAAGTTCAGGTCCAGAAAGTACAAATCCAGACCAAGATTTTGTTTCAGCCGACCAGTTGAGCATGAAGAGTGACATTCACAGAGTCAGTACGTGACTGATCGGTTGAAACTAAATCTTGGTCTGGATTTCTACTTTCTGGATCTGATCGTTCCACCTCTGGGATGTTCAAGTTACGCCGCAATGTCTGTGTTTAGTAAAGAAATAGGCCTCTGAATACTATGCTTGGATTTCTTAAGGAAACTTCAAATGCTGGATATCAAGGATTCAAGGTTCTGCAGAGGTTCTGCACAGTCATAGACAGGATAAGGGCTTGAAGATTTATAAAAGCATCTCAGAGTGTTGCATCAATGCACCAAATTCTGTTTCATAAGCCTACAGTTACACACACATGCATTCATACAGTCGGCACCTGCTGGATTTTTCTGGTCAGATCATATTTGGACCATTGAAAGCTGATACAGATGGTGCATTGTGTTGACTGATTACATCCTAAGAGATACAAAAATGAATCTTCACTTCAAAACTGTCTTATACTGGGACAAAATCCTGCAAAGGTATTCTTTTCATATATGTTTAATCTTTACATATTTATTTTACTTTATATGACATGCAGATGACCGAAGGGACAGGGAGGATAATAATGTTGCTTTTTAAAGCGTGAAAAAATATATCAACATAAAAAAGTTACTATTAAATGAATATATAATTTCCAGAATGTAGAGAGACAGCTTACTGTAGAAAAGCTTTTTGAGCATTTTGCCTAAATTGTTTCTAGGGCAGCATTCAGTTGAAAGCCTGAATTAAGACTAATGGGATTTGCTTTTGTAGCTAATTAAATATACTTGGACCCCGAAGAAGGGACATTGCTGTGTGACTCATTGGCTTTGGTAGATTAGCTATTACCGCAGTCATTTCAGGCACCTTTTTCGTCTCGCGTCCAATTTAATGTTTGCTGGCATCTGCATGATCGCCAGACGCTCCATAGTAAGCAGCTGCACGGTAAGTCAGTCACCATGTCCGCTGCTACAGCTATAATTCAATTTGTGTATTGGGGTCAGGAGAGTAGAAGATTAGCGAGCCGGTTTATGTGTGACATGTCCCTCCGTAGAGCCCCGCAAGCTGGGGAATTAAAGCCACTCTAATTCAGCAGGGTTGGTGTCTTATGTACCAAACAGAATTCATTCTCCAGCCATTCTGTCCCAGAAGTAGCTCCCTTAAGAACCAAGGTATCATCTACACTGCTGGCCCACAGAAGGGCGTATCCTCTCTTAAACTTCTTCAGTAACTCAGGAAATGGGTTTGGGATAATCTGGAGTCGAGTAAGTGGATACAACAGCCTTGCTATTTGAATTGGCCGGCGGGGATTCTTCAAGCCATATAAATCGTGGACTTGCTTTTTAAGGTGCAGACGTTGTCAGATGGATCAGAACAAGGGTCCTTTAAACATGTTTGTGTAATTTGCCATTGTGGTTACTTTCTGGAGCTTGCAATTTGGGAAGGAAGTTTGTATTTACCAGAGACTTGGAATCGCAGAAGAGATCATCTGCCAAAGTCAATATTCACGGCTCTCTCTGATTTGCCTGTGCACCCTGCGGACCCCATTCTCTCTCAGATTCCAGCCACCATGGCATTTCACGGGTTTTTTTGGACATGCCTCCTTTCTGTTTGCGCTCTTTTTTGAGACCATGGGGTCTGTGATGCCCCCTGACTCTTGCCCCCTCAGTGGGGCAGAAAAGGCTCTGTGCAGGCTGGCTCATAGTGGTCCTAGACCTCAGCCCTTGCTGCGCCCCCTCCAACTGGAACTCAGCTTATATGTGCAGAAGACCCTCACCAAGCAGAAAAAGAGGTACAGTCTCAGTTAGGCTGGGTGCAGCTTGGCTCCTATTGGATGGTCCAGGTCTGTGTCATATCAGTTGACGATGCGTTGAATTTAAATTAGCAATCTGAGAAGAATATATAAAGTGAAACCATTTACATTTGGGTGACATTTAAGAATCACAGTAGATTTTTAATGAAAACAATGATTGTTTTGATTTGTTTGACCTTGTGAGATAACATTTCTGAGATATCTGAATGTTTCAACACATAATACAACTGACAGCTATTTTGGCAGGAAAGTTTAGTTCGGGGTTTAGTTTGGTTTGGCAGTGCTGTGTGGCTCAGTGAGCTAAACCTCTCTGACTCTGATCAGAAAGTCATTGGTTTGAGTCCAGCCTTGACAAAATAGCCGCAAGTCTATTGGATTGTGAGGCAGGGCCCCTAACCCCCAGCTCCCTGTCCCTTCGCTGTGACCCCCAAGTTTGTTCTCACCAATATGAAGAGCAAGATGAGGCAAAGAGAATTTCTCCACAGGGGTTAATTATGTATCACTATTCTGTTCCATGCTCCCTTTTTATACCAGTGCCATATATTTGTTGTTCAAATGGTGCTCAGTATTGGCCATATGATACTTGGTGAGTTCTTCAGGTGATGCTCTATGTATTTCTCATTTGTACAACATAATTTAAAACACTGACCCAGGTTGTAACTGTTGATATTCAGCAAAACTAAAAAGAGAAAAATTGATAATTGGGTCAAACTTGGAAGTGAAATAAAGATTTTGAGTGCTGGGAAAGCTGCAGTCACAAGTGATTAAGTCTGAGTTTCAGCTTTAGGTATTTAATGTTGTATCTGTTTTACGATCACTGATTAAGCTATCATCCAACTGTACTGTTGCCATGGAGACATGGGCAACAAGAGGCAGGATAAGCGAGGGTCTGGATGGCAAAATCAGCAATATTTTATATTGTGACTGCAGCATGTTAACATCAATAGGAGCAGAGCCTTTTGCAGTCAGCTTTCCAGAGTCTTTCCTCATAGAGAAACCGCACCATAAGAAATTCCTGTTCAACAGGCCTGAACATGGCAATGGAGCACGCAGTTCACCAAGGCTGTTGTGACTAACACATTTGACATAAGCAAAACCTGTTTTGCAGCAGGAAAGTCAGGAAAGTCATGAAACAAACAGTCGTTTACATTCGACAGTTTCTCCTCTTGAACAATGCAGCTGTAACTTATTATACACAAAGGTAGGTCATAAAAAATTATTAAAATAAGTGTTTAGACTAACGGGACTCCTGGATTTCAAGTCACATGTTTAAATCTCTGTATTTTTACTTAAGGTTATGAGTTGGAGGGTAATCATTTGCCAAGAATAAAGGAAAAGGACTCGTAGCCCAATTGTACGTGTCAGGCCATGCCTGTGGGTTTAGTGTGGATTTTGGGGGTGTAAGTGTGACTGTGATTGCTGCTTCATGTCTGTTCTGTGCTCGCAATACGACTGAACATCACCTCGAACTGGAGGAGAGAAAGCATGTTCTCTTCAGCTGCCTGTAAACCAGGGGCGGGGAACCTGTTCCATGGAGGGCTGGTGTGGGAGCAGGTTTTTGGGATGACCTCTCAATCAGCCAATAATAGTGGGTCCCCAGGACTGGAGTTGAGAACCACTGTTTTATTATTCTCTGATTGGAGGTCATCACAAAAACCCGCCCCCACAGTGGCTCTCCATGGATCAGGTTCCCCAACCCGGCTGTAAACGCTGTAACATTGTACATCCCCATATCTCTTCCTGTCCTTCCCCACCCAGGATGGAAGCCTCCTCCCTGGAGTTGGCCTTGGAGGGGGAGCGACTCTGCAAAGCTGGGAACTACAAGGAAGGAGCATCTTTCTTTGAGGCTGCCGTCAGGGTGGGCACGGAAGACCTGAAAACCCTCAGCGCCATCTACAGCCAGCTGGGCAATGCCTACTTTTATCTTAAGGAGTACAGCAAGGCAATGGAGTACCACAAACACGATCTCATGCTCGCCAGGTAAGCGATGGAGTACCACAAACACGATCTCATGCTCGCCAGGTAAGCGATGGAGTACCACAAACACGATCTCATGCTTGCCAGGTAACGGATTTGAACTGCTGTTCTCAATCATCCATATACTCTAAAGAAGTCAGACAAAAGCAGTTTTGAGATCGGTGGCTTGCTGCTTGAACAAAGGCATCGTTACCTGGTACCTCCCACTGCTGCTCTAACAAGACTCTGCTTGTTTTTATCTTGATAATGTGACTATGACTTATTTAACTTCAAGGTTCTCCACTAATTCCTGTATATTGTGAAATGTATTCTGGGGGAGTAATTGTGCAGTAATTGTGATTTTTTAAAAAAATAGTAGTACTACTAGTAGTAGTGATACTAAACATAATACCAAGTAAACAAAAATGCAAATAAATAAGTAAACAAATGAATGATTTCACAGCCTTTAAGTAAACTTTACTCTTTTTGAGAATAAACAGCATGTATGCTGAAGATTTTACTGCCTGTTTGGAGGTTTTGGACTGAATGACTCATTTCGTTACAGGACCATAGGCGACCGAATAGGGGAGGGAAAAGCCAGCAGCAACCTTGGGAATACGCTGAAGGTCCTGCAGCGCTTCGACGAGGCGGTGGTCTGCTGCCAGCGGCACCTAGACATCGCCCGCGAGCAGAGGGACAAGGTGCGGGCAAGACACAGATGGCCATGTATATATAAGAGGAACATAGGGAAGTATAGAAATGAGGTTCCTCCAAATGTATTAACCGGCTATATGTAGGCTTGTGTCATGGATCAATGTCGAAATGACACAACTAAGAACACACAGTGCTAACACCTATGTTTACATCACATTTACATACATTTATTCACTTATCAGGTGTTTCTATCCAAGACCAGGGTAATTTATCTTATAAGTGCTGGACTGTTGAGGGAAGAAGAACTAAAGGAAAACTACTGAGAAACTGCACATTAGCAATCAGAAATAGGTTCGTCATTTAGCAGCGACTCTCAGCTAGCAGCTAAAGGCTGACTGTGTTCTCTGTTGTTGGAAGCAGGTCGGAGAAGCAAGAGCCCTGTACAATATAGGCAATGTGCTTCACACCAAGGGCAAGCAGAAACTGTGGGGCTGCCCCCAAGATCCCGGAGACATCCCCCCTGATGTGAGGGACACGCTGCAGAGGGCCACGCAATTCTACGAGTGAGTCTGCCAAACACACGGCCCAGCTGACGTACTGACACGTGGCAACACGGGCTGACGGGCACATGAGAGCAGTCCAGGATGCATGGTATATGCTGTAGCTCGCAGAGTTCTGTACAGTGGTAGAAACCAGCATCATCTTCAGACTAAATTGCCCCTCCCAATTTCAACAGTAGATGGCACTATAAGTATGAAAATTCAGCAATGGACTAAATTTTGTCTCCAGACCCCTGTGCAAGACATTCAAATCTACTGATTGTTCAGTTTGTAGCTGTAATAATAATGCTAGTTTAACAGTGTAACACTACTGGTTGGTTTATCTCTGTATTGGATCTCAGAGATGTTCCTCTTTTAACAGACACTGGTATCTGTGAGAGTTAACTTTGGGTGTCTCTGGGTTCATGCCATGCTGGTGCAGCCCATGAGCCTTGTGACCCCCCACCCCCACACTGTGGTTACTTCACATTACCTCCCCCTAACAAGCAGGCACTCAGTCACAGTTCAGCCAGCATGTACATGAGGTGTGAGATCCTGAAGAAAATGACTGATGGACGAAAGGAAAAACAAACTGTGATTTAAAATTCCCTTAAGTCTTAAAAATGGAAAATATTTTTTAAGTATATTTTTTAATTCATGTTGGCTAAGCTGTGTGTGAGAGTAAAAGGCGGGTGTGTGAGAGTAAAAGGCGGGTGTGTGAGAGTAAAAGGCGGGTGTGTGAGAGTAAAAGGCGGGTGTGTGACTTCATGTTGCTGCCTCTATCAGCGTCGCCGTCACTTTCCTTACCACCGTGTCACTAACTCTTCCTGTCACACTTTCAGGATGAATCTGTCACTAATCAGTGAGCTGGGAGACAGGGCTGCCCAGGGAAGAGCTTTCGGAAACCTCGGCAACACCCATTACCTGTTGGGGAACTTTGTGGAAGCCATCAAATTCCACAGAAAGGTGACGATCGACTGGCTTTAAAGCGCCCAAAGTCATGTGATAAGTAAATCCTGTGGGGCAGAATGACATCATGTGCCTGTTTGCCGCCCTGGCAGCGCCTCTCTATTGCCAAGGAATTTGGTGACAAAGCAGCAGAGCGGAGAGCTTATAGTAACCTAGGCAACGCTCACATTTTCCTGGGACAGTTCAATGCAGCCGCAGAGTATTACAGGTAAGGGCTGGATGTGGCCCATGTGTTCTGTGTGTGTAGCAAAAAGATGGAAAACATGCCAGCATTATTAGTGATAGTTAAGATAGGTGTTATTTCTCTTGCCTTATAATGTAAGCAAAAAATTAAACAACACAGCAGATATTGGGAGTGATGTCTAATCACCTGTCTGCTCTGTGAATCCCGAACTCTTACAGGAAGACCCTGCAGCTCTCCCACCAGCTCAAGGACCAGGTGATGGAAGCGCAGGCCTGTTACAGCCTGGGTAACACTTACACTCTCCTGCAGGAATACATCCGTGCCATCGAGTTCCATCTTAAGCACCTGGTAATAGCCCAGCAGCTCTCAGACAGGTCTGTGTCATTCCTGATGGGCGTGGCCACACTGCACCACTTCCTGTTTCTCTCGCCAGGTCCCCTTTCCTTACTCGTATCCTCCGTGGCTGATGTTACATTACAGATCTTCCTTCCCCTTTTCACTGAAGCAGCTGTTGTTCCAGCTCAGCTGGGATCTCCATCCCTGGTGAGAAAATGCTGAGGGCGTGTCCTCTGTTTGCAGGGTCGGCGAGGGCCGGGCCTGCTGGAGCCTGGGGAACGCCTACGTGTCCCAAGGGAAGCACCAGCAGGCACTGCACTATGCTCAGAAGCACCTGGAGATCTCCACAGAGGTATAGCAGTTCACCATATTGACATTCATTCCATTATGTTACTTATTTGTGGCTGTAATCGTTATTTCTTTCACTTTTCCTGGCCTGGAACCTCTTTGTATGCACACCCCAGACTCATGTGCTTCACTGATTCAGTGACTTGCCCTAAGCCCTAAGTCAGCTTGCCATCTTTCCAGTCAGATGTAATCATTGTCAAGGCAAAGTCACATCATGGTCCACGTAATGTCTCTTTCCTCTCCCTTCATTCCTCCTCTCCTCCTTGCTAAGGATTAGCTATAAATGCAAGGCTATGTGTCTCATTCAGTGGAGTTGAACCCACTTTGATCACTGGAATCCCAGTTTAGTTCTGGGGCTCACAGCACAACTGCTCATCTGCATTTGGCTTCAGGGTTACAAGCAGCCGCTGCTGTATAGTGACATGGGGGAGGACTGTTTGCAGACCTGCATACAATTATAATACAGTTTTAAAAATATTTTAATGTGCGATGTAGATGGAACAGAGATAAGGTCATGCTAACTCAAGGGGAATGATATTCTGATTATGGAGCTTTTTCTAAGTCGGGGCTTTTAAGTTCCTAAATCAAATCTGTTCCGCATCGACCCATGAGTGTGAAACGGCTCATCCGGGGATCCCCCTGCCTCTCTACAGATCGGCGACCGCAATGGAGAACTCACAGCCCGCATGAATGTGGAGCAGCTAATGTTAGCACTGGGCATGAGCAAAGTGGACCTGTCACGCTCTGGATCTTTGCAGTTTGAAGCACAAGAACAAGGTAGGATCACATGCCTAAAATTAGTGTCATATAGCTTATTCACAAATGCACAGCATTGAGTGCTTGGTTTTTCATGTGCATAAAATCTTTAAATGAAGTGATTTTTAGTATTTTCACCTAATTTTACTTCTTCTAATTTTACTTTTTACTTCTAATTTCACTCCATTTATTTTCATTCATGTTTAATTAGACCAATATAAAACATTTAGTTACAGTATTTAAATAACTATTAGAAAGTGTCTAAAGATTTGGCTGTATTAACTTTTCAACAGCTACGTATCAAACACACAGCCTGTTTTGTTTGCTCATCTTGTAACTATGGCAACAGCTTCCCAGCCACTCAAGCGCAGGGTCTCTGTCTGTAGGGTCATGGATCCAGCTACATGTAAGACCTTGACGTCACATCACACTAACAGGGCTGTGTACCATCCGAATGTAAGGCACACTCAACACTAAGGCAGTCCCCTATTATAAGTCCATAGGTGTTCTTACAGGATCGCCCAGTTACACTAAGGCAGTCCCCTATTATAAGTCCATAGGTGTTCTTACAGGATCGCCCAGTTACACTAAGGCAATCCCCTATTATAAGTCCATAGGTGTTCTTACAGGATCGCCCAGTTAATCTGTATCTGTTTAAAAGATCAATTAGAAAGTTCTGCAGTTGCACCATAAATTGATCTCTCTCTCTATACATGTTTTTTAAACCTGCAAATAATTCAAATGATCCAGTTCCTGTGTTTAGTTCCTTCTGTGCCATTATCAGCTTTATCTCTGTCTGGCTCTGTTTGTATGATGGCATGTGCTTGGATGGACTGGGTACTAGGTCCATAGCCGCGCTATCACTCTAAGGGCTGCTATAACCCATCAAATGCCGCTATAACCAAGATTTTGCAGGGACTAGCAAACTAAACCCATGCAGTGCTGTGCAACCAAGGACCGCCACCATTCCCATGCAATAGTGGTACCTGTGGAAAAGATCCATACATCTGTCATAAAATGGTTCCACTTGGAACTGTTTGTATTTGAAATTTCCAGCTGTTGAATTGATCACATTTCCCTCAAACACATCTTTGAGTCATAATACAGGGCACGAGGATGTGGAATATACTCTACACCCAACATTATACTGTTGGCCTATAAAAGTTGATATACGTAATGGCTAAAGTAAAACCAAACCATCTATAGATTACTTCTACTGAAATTAGAACCTTCTTGTATCCTTTGAGCATTGTGCTATTTTTTCCCTATGGTGGAGCAGGTAATTTATGGGAAAACTTTTAACTACTAGCTGTCTTCAGGACTTAATATCTGAGGAATCAGTGGTTAATTAATAAGGGATAATAATGGTGTTCTACTTGACAGGCCATTCCACTTACTGCTGACCAGAGGGAAGAGAGAAAAGTTTGGTTGTCACCTAGATGTCCTTGGATTAAGTGGATTATTAATTTTAAAACACATTTTAGATTTCAAATGTTAGATGTCTGATGAAGCACCATTTGTTGTCAGTTGACCACAGATCTCAATAAATTGTAACAGTAATAATACTGTATATTACCATTGGCCTTCATTGAAAGCTGAGGTGTGGATGGTGATATTGGATAAACCATAAATGTTCATCTTTTTCTTGGTTTATAGTTTTTGGGTAAGGCAACCACATATATCTTAAAACAATATTAATTTAACTGCAAAATCTCTGTCCAAAGTGGTAATTCTGTGTCTGTAAGCTACATCTGATTTTGAGAAAAAGCAGTTTGCACACAGCTGTTATATAAAGGTCACTCCAGGCTATATATATTTATTTATTGAGCGTGTAACTGAGGGACAGCCTGGTTTTTACGAAATTAGAGACCAGTGTGCAAATTTGGGGGGTCTTTTGTTAGCCAGCTGTGTGTCACATGCTCTCAAGCTTTGTCATTGTACCAACATACTCCAGGGCTTTTGAAGTGGGCCTTGGGTCTGGTGAGAGTTCTTTTCTGACAAATTGAATATATTACACTTTTTCTATAATAGTGCAGTGAGAGTAAGCTTTGTTTGAAGATGGGTACATTTGTTTGGAACCCACCTACTAAACTATCCATGTCATTTGGTTGAGTTTGTGATTCCCATTAGGAGATCATATGTGGCAAATGTAGATAAAGATTGAGGGGCAGTCTTAGTGGTCTTAGTGGTCTTTTTTGGTTTTGCCGAAAAGCAGTTTAGAGTGGTTTGAACAACTGCTTAGGAATTGATTAAAAATCTCCTCTCTGGAATCTTAAAACCTCAATAAATATGTTTTTCCTGTAAATACTGGAACATATAAAAGACACAAAATATAGCATACCCTTTTTGGTTCTATGATTCTACAGCTGAATTTGATGCATAATTACATTTCCCAAAATTAAACACTTTATCTACCCTCGGTGATCTTAATATGACACGGGTTTGACGATATATAGGTTCTTAACCAGTAGGTGGTGTATAATTGCTGAACACAATGTTATATTTGTTGTAAAGGGTAACTTTAGTGGAAATTTAGTGGGCCTTTGAAAATATTACACAGCGATCTGGTTAAACTAGAAGAGTGACTATATACCACTGCTGCCCACTGACATTTGTTCAGTGGAAGGCCTGCTGGCTTTCACCTAATAGAAAAGGCTGGCCTTTCTACAGTAGCTCACTATGTATAATCCGCACCTTGGTGTAGAATCATTTTTACTATATATCTACAGTCTATGCAGGAGTAAGTTGCTGTGAGGTTAGAATGAGTGCTTAGATAAAACTTAGATATCTTAGATAAAACTCCTAAAAGAAGATAATTGTAATAGGTCTACAATGAATACTGTTATTCTGTTCACATGTCTCCTGTCAGTCAGTGATATACACGTCACAGACTATTATGTCATTTCGGAAAAGCTATTCAACGTAAAAGATTCTGATTAATGAACAATGAATATTTTAATGCAAAAAACTCTCTTTATACTTGCTGTTATTTCATATAATCTCAATGCAGAGCAGATTATTTCTGTACCAATTTTTTCATTTATTTCTGCTATAGTACAGTCTTGACACCCCACTAACCTGTATTAAACCATAATATAAACCCTTGCAAGATCTCTGTATGAGAGAGAGAGTGTGATCTGGATTCAGCAAGTGTGCTGTCCTTTCGTCCATGAAAAGGTGTCTCTGAGAGAGCACTCTGAGAATGACTGACACTGTGATAACGTTCCTGCATTAGTAATGTGTTCACTGTGTGTTCATGTCCTTCATTTGTTCTCACGATAAGATAAGATAGGATACGTCACGATAAGTTACGATAAGACAAGACTTTATTTTTCCTGACAGAAATAGTAATGGTAAGACATAACTCTTACTGTGCTTAAAAATATCCAAATAAAGAACACAAGAAACACAAAAAAACACCAAATAAAAAGAGACCCAGTACAATACTGTAAGTGTAAAACATTGCTAGTAAAATGTAAGTATAAAGAAAAGGATACAAAGATGAGATATATAAAGTGAAAGTGTGCATGTGGAAAGGATGTGAAAGGGTACCATATAATGTGCAAAAAGTAGTTATTGGACTTGTTGGTACTGTCATATCACAGGAAAGGTAAAGAGGAACCCAGAGTAATACAGCACTGAGGCTGCCTGTAAGTCCGTAAATCTGATGTGTCGTCTGCTTGGATCTGTCCTGCAGGTGCTAGACCGAAATTCAACAAAAGCAGCAAGAAGAACATCGAATTGTGGAAGTGCTCTTCAGAAAAGGTGAGAGATTTGTACCCATGTTTAGCAGTAACAAAAGTAAGAAAGTGGTATTCCTACTGTAGGTGGTACATCTAAATGTCATGCAATTTCCAGTTCCACATATACATCAGGAAATATTCAGATAATTGGAGTGAGTTAGGATTTGAGTATTGCCTTTCCAGTCATCCAAATACTCACTCCATACCGTTATATGATCCATATAAGGTATATGGAAATAAAATAAACAAAATAAATAAACCTCAAAGGTGATACACTCTTAGTATCAAAAACAGTCCTCAATGAATGGTTTAATGTTTTGGTAACACTTTACAATGAGTACGTCATGTACTTAAGTAATGCCTAACTAATCTATGACTCATGATTTAATGCATGAGTTAATACAAGATGTATCATGAATTCCTGTTACTCCCCATGAACTAATGATGAAGTCACTGTGGCTTAATGTGATTACTTCACATCCAGCTAATTTAGTTGCATATCAATTAATGTATGAAGTAACTGTGAATTTACATTCCTTAACTGGTGACCTAGTAAGTGTGAAATAACCATCATTCTTTTGTCCTGGTCAGAGTCATGGGACAAATGAAATACACTTATGGGGCAGCTTTGGTAAATCCTTTTTATTGGTCCAGAGATGTCACATGGGTGTTCATTATTTTTGTGTTATGTTCTGGCAGCCTAATAATAGTTCTGTGTTACTGGGTTTTAATGTTTTTTAAACATGCTAATATAAGAACCTGTGTAACTTTTTACTTGTGAATAGTCATTCTTATCAGCATAATTTCCCTTGGTTTTCAACTGTCTCTTGACAGTTTTTATGATTCAACAGACTTGCCATTTACAATGAGTAGCCTGAGCAGACATTGTATCCTTATAGGGCCTATATCAGGCATGCAGTAAGGGGGCGGCCTGGTGATGCAGTGGTTAGCACTGTGGCCTCACCTCTAGGACCAGGGTCTCCACCAGGGTTCTCTGTGTGTGAAGTTTGCCTGTTCTCCCCATGTCATTGTGGAGGTTCCACTGGGTACTTTGGTTTCTCCCCCCCCTACCAGTCCAGAAACATGCTAAGGTTAATTGGAATTGCCAAACGGCCCACAGGTGTGTGTGTGAGTGTGCCTGGTGATGGGTTGGTGCCCCATCCTGGGTTTTTCCCTGCCTTGTGCCCTGTGATGGGTTGGTGCCCCATCCCGGGTTGTTCCCTGCCTTGTGCCCTGTGATGGGTTGGTGCCCCATCC